GTTTTAGTGTATAGATCATTCCCCTGCAATTTCACTGCTCAATTCACTGTGAGTTAGGAGTTAAATCACTTTGTTTCTGTTTATGCAGCCCTAGCCACACCTTCCCTGGCTATGATTGACAGAGCCTGCATTAAAAAAAAAAAACAAAAAAAAAAAAAAAACTGGTTTCACTTTCAAACAGATGTAATTTACCTTAAATAATTGTATCTCAATCTCTAAATTAAACTTTAATCACATACAGGAGGCTCTTACAGGGTCTAGCAAGCTATTAACATAGCAGGGGATAAAAAAAAATCTGAATTATACAGAACTTGCAATAAAGAAAGCCTAAATAGGGCTCTCTTTACAGGAAGTGTTTATGGAAGGCTGTACAAGTCACATGCAGGGAGGTGTGACTAGGGTTCTTAACAAAGGGATTTAACTCCTAAATGGCAGAAGATTGAGCAGTGAGGCTGCAGGGGCATGTTCTATACACCAAAACTGCTTCATTAAGCGAGTTGTTCAGGTGACTAAGGTATCCCTCTAACCCTTTAAGGGTTATTGTACAACTTCTGAATCAAAACAAAACCTAGAATTTGCATTATGTGTCTGTCCCACCATAATTTAAGTGCCCCCATAAATATTATACATTGTTTTTTTAAATAACAGAAATGGGTTTCTTTTAATATTCAATATGTATATCTAAAACTACATATTGCACAGAGTAAAATGTAAAAAAGGGGGGGATGGGGAGGAATGGGGAACAAACCAAAGAAACATTTTTATTTTTTTTTACATTTTTGCTAATAATTGTTTTGTGTCGATCTGTTTTTTATTAAAGTAGAGCTATAAAAGGACAAATGACATACTATTTGCAAAGCTATTTAAAGGCAGTCAGCATCACTGTAACATTTTTCATCCATCAGATTCATAAAACCTCTTTTCATTTTTACATATAAAGAGTTACGGCATGGAAAGTAACATAGAATGCTATAATAACCACACAGTGAGTGTATATAGAAAGCTTGCTAGTCTTCAAGTTAGAAGCACCAAAACTATGACAAGCGTCTCACTCCTGTAAGATAAGCCACATAGAGAATGTATAACTAATACATTAATTTGGCTAGCTTGCATCCTGGAGTACTCAGAACATAAATCTAATGCTAGGATAGATACTTGTTCTACAGGCTGTGCGTTTTTAGGAGAAGGCGTGGCCTTTAAGAGCCGTGGAATACAACCGATACGCAAAACCAGTGTCAGGGTAACATTCACAATTTAGTAGTAGGGTAGCAGGTGCTTGCATACTTTGTGGTTAAGTAGAGTTACGTCCCCTAACCTAGGGGGACACAGGGGGGAAATGGATCTAACATGAGAGCGTAAAGCTCCTTCACAGTTGGGTAGAGCAACTGCTATAGAGCGACAAGCTAAGTAGATTGGGGTCACTCAACAGTAATGTAAATGAAAAATAAACATGAACATAATTAAGAGATAACATTAAAACAAACATTCTTACGGTGTAACGGAGGCTCATGTCCCGGCACTCGTGGGTATGAAAGGTGTTATATGTTCCGGGTCCCTGGCTTGTGAGGTAGAAGGAGCCGCCAAAATCCAACAGGGTTTTTCCCTTCATTTCATTCAGGATGCGGTTCTTGTCCGTTAAGGAGTGACAGCTGATGATTACATCTCAGGAGGCAGAGGATGGGGCTTGCCTGGGTATGTTGATACGAAAAAAGCCATCAAGCTCTGGTAAGAAGAAGTAAGCATCTAGTAAGAATGCGTTGAAGATGGTGTGGCAATTTCGTCCGAGTCGATTGAGTCGGATGCCCCTTATTTTAATATTAGCATGGCAGCTGTGGTCTTCAGCGTGGTCAACTCTCATCAGTAGTGCAGAATGTTGCAGGGACTCCCTGAGACCCGCTAAATCCTTCCTTATGTCTGTGATATCCTCTTCTGAGGCCTGTGTTCATGCAGTCACTGCTCGGACTTCTGTCCTAATTAAATCCAGGTCTGTGTTAGACGTTTGTCTCAATTCTCGCAGTAGGTTAACAATGTCCTGCTTGGTAGCTGGTGCAAGTACATCCCGCTCTGCCTTCAGCTCAACTAGTGACACAGGGGTAGAGGACTCCAGCGTCTCACCTTGGTCCACACCTGAGCCTCTGGGCTCCATGTCTGCATCTACTTGGGCCGCCATCTTGGGAGCCGTGGGGCGTTGGAGTATAGTGCAGATGTCCTGGGTGTCCTTACTAGCACTAGATTGTGGTTTCTGAGACCGTAGCCCCATAGCTTTGGTGGGTGTGCACAATTCCCTTGTGTTGTTGGAGAACTGCGCGGACCATCAGCATTCAGCCATCAGCATTGAGTGGGCAGCCTCCAAGGCTCGAAAGTCGAGGAATGAGTTAAATGCCTCATTAAATCGAGGACTTCTAAATCATTTTTCTGTAGTTAACACTAACTCCATACCAACACCTTTAATGCAATACCAACCCTACTCCTATGCTTACACTAACTCTAACTGTACACTTACCCTAACCTTACACTAACCCTAACCTTAAAGCAATATTAAACATGTATTCCTGATACTATAGTGCTGGTGTGGCTGTTTTTGTGACCGGCCCAGTTCCGATTGCTCTGATAAGGTGATTTTATTCGCCTTTTCTCCCACACCGCACTGGTCTTTCTGTGCCTGGCCCCTCCCTCCATGACTGAGATCATCAAACCTAATCAATCTAATGATTTCTCATAGGAGAGTACTAGGAGGCTCATGAGGAGCAAAACACCACAATGCGCCAATCAGTGCATCTCTATGGGGAACGTTCATTGTAAACTAAGAAGCATCTCTAGTGGTCAGAGTGACTGCCACTAGATGTGTTACTGGGAAGCAATGTAAATACTGCTTTTTCTCTGAAAAGGCAGTGTTTTCACCAAAAAGCCTGTAGGGACAGGCAATAGACACAAGAACCCCTACATTAAGCTGTAGTGGTTCTAGTGACTATAGTGTCCCGTTAACCATAACCCAGCATTAACTCTTACTCAACTCTAAAATTTACCTTGGCACTATGAAATACCCTCTGCTAATCTCAGTACTGATATAGGCAGATGGATTTCCTAGTTACAACAGTCGCGAGCAGGATATAACCACCATCGATTGGCTGTTTTCAGCATTACAAGCGGATATTTTCCTATAATGCTAAAACCTCAGCATCCTGCCTCTGCAGATCACAGTGTGATTGATAGGGCATACAGGGAGATTTTGTTCAGATCCTGCAAGTCTCCTTTGGGCAGCTGCATGCCGAGAATCATCACAGCAGATTCGCTCAGCCATGGGGTTTTGAAAGAATTTAAATGGATGTATGCAATACACTGCTCAATGATAAGCGGGCTCTTTTTGGCCCTAGTACATTTAGGAGACAATGACTGCATAGATCAGATAGATCAGAGGTAAGTACCGTTCATTATATCATGCAGTACCATAGGGCCACGTTACCACAAAGTATTTGGTATTCCTCATCGCTAATGCAGATTCTACTGATACTTAGGCAGAGAGGTAAATAAGTTTAACTTATTAAATGTTCAAATTACCAAAAATACATTATATGTAGCTGAAAAAGTAAAACATTCTTGAAATGTTTAAACTGTTTCGCATTTGTTTGGTAGGCTTGCTAGGTTTGCATTCTAAAGGCAATAAAATCATAATAAATTAAAACTAGCAATTTAGTGCAAACCATAGAATTTAGAATATGCCTTGGTAACACACATGAAAGCATCGATATTGTGTAGCTTACACAATTACATTTTAATTTGTATCAAAGTAATAAGACAGAGTAGCTAGTATTGTCAGATTTCTTCTAAGCCTGAGGTATGTGGTTTAGACATGAAATGGCTCCCAGCTGGAAGAAGCCTTTTTCCAGATGTACAGTAAGTGAGGGTAAATGAGAAGGAGCCAGCTGCCTGGATAACATGTTGAAAAGACCCCTTTGACAACAGCTTAACTGCCTGTGTCTAATGTAATAAATGTAAGTCTATTCATAGCAAGTGAATGAAGTGGTGCAATATATGCACAGTGAAACATCCATGCGTCCAGCTAATTTCCACTACTTACAACAGTGTCTATATACGCTTAACAATACTTTATGTGCTCATTAGATTTGTTAATCCTAAATTGTTCCACCTTACAGATACTTTTGTAATAACATGTTCAAAACTTTGATTAAATGAAAAGAAACCAAATATGACTTGAGGTTTTCAAATATGTCATTTGCAAAATTGTGTTCAAAATATATCACATCAGTCATAACTAAGCAAGTTCAATATTTCACTTTTAAAGGAAAAAAATCAACCCTTTATTGGTAACATTCATGGGGGCTATGTTAGCTACGATACAGGCAGAGTTGATTGCCCCTCTGGAACTTACATAGCTATGCACTGATAATATGAACAAGAAGCACCAGTATAGTATGCCCCTACCCCATGTATGATATCTGCTAATATTGCCCTCCTTTCACCACTCTACTCAAAGTAGGGAGAAAGCAACACATAATTTGAAATCAATCTCAGTCATGAAGCACTGAAAGCGTATGTTAGACTACAATAAATAAACTAAAAACACAGTCAGTGGCTTGACCAGCATGTTCCTTGAGAAATCTTACTGGCAAATGTTCCTAAGAAATTGTGAAGTCTAAACTGTTTTTATACAGCAAGATTGTTGTGAATCCTGCTGACGGATGTTAGCATGGGGTTAACATGGAGCCTTTTTCCTGGCAGGAAAGAAACAAGAAAAGAGAGAAAAGAGACCTTGGTCTAATTTTAGATCTGGTTTAAAAGGTGAACATGGAGTAAAAGAAACATAAAAATCGACAAGCTGACCTCTGAAACAACTCTCTATTCAGATGGAAATGTCAACATTTCAACCCTTTTGGTTGAAATGTTGCCTGTATATTGCTTAGATGTTTTTGTACCTTCCCTCATCATAATCTACCTTTAGAAACAGAATCAATTACTCTATAACAGGCATAGGCAACCTTCAGCACTCCAGATGTTTTGGACTACACCTCCCATGATGCTTTGCCAGCATTATGGGGGATGTAGTCCACAACATCTGGAGTGCCGAAGGCTGCCTAACCCTGCTCTATAACATGTCCTATACTGAAAAATAAATCATTACTCGTCGGCGAATCTTGGAATCTTAGTTTATTTATTTAATGCAAAAGATGACAAAATGTGAAAGTCTTAAAGCAAAAGGTATAACTACATCAAAAAGTCTCAAAAAATTCCTAACGTAAAAATACAAACCAGCATATCATTTCGCCTGCTTTAATTTTATTTATTTTGAAGCATAACTTTGTATGTTTAAAAATAAATATCTGTACTTACAAAAACTGTTTACGGTTACCCCAAAATTTCATACCTTCCATGGCACCCAACCCCTTAGCCACTCTTCTATAATAGCACAGAATTGTCCGGGAGTTGTGTGTACAGCAGAGTTTCACATCATTACGCTTTGAGAATCGCCAACAGTAAATTATAAAAACTTATACTTGTTTCAAGATCAGCATGTGGTATTCTCCTGGAAAATGTTATCCTAATGAAAGATTTAGTGCAATGTCTATTTTAATATCAACATTGTGACCCATGTCTGCTGGTGAAAACCGTTGCCATTCATGCAGATCTTTGTTTTGTGAAACTGATGATACTTAATCAGCAAATACCGATCTCAGTGTATAGTCAAATCTAACAACAAGTTAAGTAACTAATGACTTTGTATTTTAATGTGGGAGAACAAATTGTTTTCAGTTTCTGATGCTCAGGTATGTCTTGCCTTCAAATAGTAAAGATGCTGTAACCAATGAAACAGATTCACTGAATTATTTTTTCCAATGGAGGTACCACTTTATTCCTTTAATCAATAATGTCAGAGAGGCTGATGAAGGACAACCCAATATAAGACTGAAGCAAGTATTGACAAATTATTTTTTGAAATTCGTCACAGATGTTCATTAGTCTTGCATGGTGAGCAACCTACATTAGATAATATTTTCAATTTACTTTCAGAAAAAAATAAAACAAAAATCTGAATTTAGTATAAATGTATCTTTATTCTCCAGTATTTAATTTCTTGAACACCACAATTATAATGATTTTATCAAAAATTGATAACACACGTTTTTTATAACTTTATACTTGCTACTAATTTTACCAACATATCTAGTAGCAAGGAATATAGCAGGGCAGGCCGTAATGGATGCACAAGGTACACTCACATAAATGACAAACAAACTAGATAAGGTGAGTAGATTAAAACCTTAGATTTACTAAACATCCGAAATACGTCTGCCAGTCAATGAAAACAGTCTACCTGTATTTCCAGGGACTCTGGATGTAAGACTGCACTCATTTCATCTGGTACTTCCAGTAGACAGCATTTAAAAAAACAACTATATATATATATATGAAGATATTTGTGAGATGTGTGCTTTGTTGTACAATCAGATGTAACTTACTTTAGAGGTTTTTATATATCCTGCTCTGTAAATTGAACTTTAATTAAACAGAGGAGTTTCTTGTAAGCTTTAGCAAGCTATTAACAGTGCATGAGAAAAAAAAACAATGTAAATTAAACAGACCGTGAGATAAAGAAAGTATAAACATTAGATCTCACTGTACAGGAAATGTTTAGGAAGACTGTGAATGTTACAATCAGGGAGGTATGCTTTGGCTGCATACACAAATTCAACTAAAGGTCTGTTAGGATTCAGGAAGTAACTCTAGTGGCTGTCTGACTGACAGCCACTACAGGCAATCTTAGTGCTGCAATGTAATTATTGTAGTTTATCAAAAACTGCAATGATTAGCATTGCAGGACCAAGTGGGGCAAGGACACTGCAACTGGACCACTTCAATTAGATGACTTGGTCTTGGTGACTACAGTGTCACTTTTAGTTTTAATAACATATTTATTAAAGGAACACTATGGGGTCAGGAATATAAACATGTATTCTGACCCTATAGTGTTACAAACACAGGTTAGTTGGCCGGCCACACTTACCTACTTTAAATAGGGTTAAAACTCGCCTTCATTTCAAGGCCGTGCGGGTATGCTGTGGCTGGCTCTGCCCATGTGCCCCATCCTTGGTTGAGATAATAAGAATTGACTATTTCTGCCAATCCAATGCTTTCCATTAGAAAACCAATGGGAGGCTAATGCGCATGATCAGCAAAACACCACGCTGCACCAATCAATGCATCTCTATGAGGAGCGGTCTGCTCCTCCATGAAGAGTCTGGAGATGCTGAACATAGGTGCAGCACTGACCCAGGAAGCACCTCTAGTGGCTGTATTAGTGACTACCACTAGAGGTGCTACTGGGCAGCACTATAAACATTGCCTTTTCTCTGAAAAGGCAGTGTTTATATTAAAATGCCTGCAGGGACAGGCAGTAGACACTAGAATAACTACATTAAGCTGTAGTCGTTCTGATGACTATAGTGTCCCTTTAATATCATTATTATTATTATTTTTTTAAAGATTTTTAGATGTGTATTATACGTCTGTACTATGCTTGAGGTAGCTCAACATCTAAAATGTCAAGTATGGCATTAGTTTGTGAATTAAATTCCCTCAGGTATGTGCTGTCATAAAATTACATTCCCCATGCTATTCAGACAGCCTTCCTTGTGGTTAATGTGGTCAGCAAGCATCTGAAGTGACATTATCTCTGGACAAAATTTCTCATGATGCCTAAGGGAGGGTGACTATATTGATATGTGAATTGGTTTGTAAATTGAAAAATTAAATTAGTGTAATAGGCACACTGAGACTGGACAAAACCTTAAGTACTTGCCCTGATGTTCATTACCACTCTCAAATAAATGTATTGTCCCACACCTCCTGTAATGGCAAATGGCAGCTTGAGACATCATGATTGGAAACTAACCATCATTTCTTACACTAAAATTATTATTTACAAACCATTCAGGAAAACGGTAGCACTGTCCATTATAAAAGAAAATACATAAGCATAACATGAATAATATAACATAGATAAATCAGTGAATGCAAATGCAAAATTAACTTATTACTTCAAAACAGAAACTCAAAAAATGTGTCAGAAAACCAAAGCAAGCTGGTACAACAGATTCTGTAAATTAATAAAATGGCCAAAAGAACCCCCTTTAAATAATTACACGTACTTGAAAATATCATGCTTGCACTTTTGTTTGTTTGAACAGAGTGACTTCTAAACGTTCCTTCTCTTTGTTCTCCTTCCCAGACCACCATAGGTTTTCTATAATTTAGTGAGTTTCACCCAGCCCATGGACACACACACTGCTAAAGGCGCAGCTCGTTCTTAGCATATCACAAAGTGTATTACAGCACTGTCTGGAAGACCTACTCTCGTATACCCTCTGCTATTCATCACCAGCTGTCCAATAAAATAGGAAACTTAAGATAAGAAATGTTTATGTAAATGGAATGCCCATAACGAGACAAGTACTTATAGGCAGAACTTATTCCATGTAAGTGCAACCCAGGACAGACTGACAGAGATTAGTGGACAAGCAGCAAGTTAAGGTGCCCTGCCCCAGTTACAAGACCTTTTAGAAGTATAAATTTGTAAAAACAGGATATTAGTAGCAGTGGAGAGAGTGTCTAAACTCCCCCGACATCATTAAGAAAAAAATGTATTATATTCTGATTTGAAAACAACAAAATAAGAAGAAATGAGTATAAAAAAATAAAAAATAGCCATGTTAAAATCATGCATAAATACATAAATCATATTTAGAAATGTATATGCAGTACATATTCATCCTGTTTAGGATCAGAACCAGGAAGAACTTATCAGCATTTATAAATTGAGACACGTTTTCTTCCTATTAAAATACACATACATACATACATATATATATATATATATATATATATATATATATATATATACACACATACTGTGTATATACTTTATTGTAAATCGCTGCAAAATAATAATATAAAGCTATATTAAATTCAATTAAATATATAAAGCTAAATTTAAAAATGTCCATTGCTAAGGGTATCTGTAAAAATGCAGTATGCTATCAAGTCTGAAACATGATGCCTGTCTGTGTTCATGTGCATGTCTAACTGAGCACTCTAGTGCAGTTTTGGAAACATGAATTCTTGAGTGTCTGTTTCCAAGAAGGACTTCTCAAAATCCACCTTGAGATATACAAGAAAAGGAGGAAAACCTTGGCCGTAACAACTTTTCTTTCCTGCTTTTTGTTATCATGTTTTTTTTAATGTCCCATTTTCTTTTGTCTACTAGGCTACACTTTTCGTTTGGTAAAACAAAGTGCCCAGATCTGGAATTCCAGAGACACTCATACCATCTGCAGACTCTACTTTTCCCATGATCACATTCCTTCTCATTCAGTTATTCTTTTTATTTTGTCTCAAACTGCCCACTTTTTGAAGTTCTCAAACTATTCTACACGTACTTGGCAATCTCTTCAATGTTGAATAGATTGCTCTCTAACCCATGAGTAATTACACCCATATTTTCCCTATACTGTAATACGTTCATTTGAACTGTGCTCTCACCATCTTGCTTCCATTCCTTGTACTTTGGATTGTGTTGCTTCTCCGAGATTAGAGGGAGTTGCAATCCCATACAGCAGTTACTTCAGTTGCCTTCATTTAAAAGGCAGCAAGTGTGACTTGTATATAACTTCAACTAATCATGTGCAGATTGGGACATGTATGTCCAGATTCCTCCTGGGATTAAGATCCCAAAACTGTACAGAGACTATCTGTGCATTGTTACTCATTCATTACATTGCATAAACCACAAATTACGTCACCATCCATGTAGTAGGATTCTAAACACGATCTGCCCTTTGAAATGTCAGGCATATCAAGTAAAACACACACAAATGCACACATGGTTGTCCTTACCTTTAAGTTCTTTAATGTAGCCATCCTTACAACTGTGCATCAGCTGAACGATCCATTTGTGCTGGGCTCCAATACATTGCCAAGCTGGGTCATCAGGAGCGTGGAGATCGGAAAGGTATCTGCAATATGATAAACAAAGATCAGTTTTATACTGGAATGCATAAGCATAATACATG